GCTTGTGTTTCCTCTCTCACTGTGTCTCTCTCTGTCAAATAAATAAAATCTTGAAAAAAAAAAAAGAATGGGAGAAGATATTTGCAAATCACATGTCAGATAAAGGGCTAGTATCCAAAATCTATAAAGAACTTATCAAACTCAACACCCAAAGAACAAATAATCCCATCAAGAACTGGGCAGAGACATGAACAGACATTTCTGCAAAGAAGACATCCAAATGGCCAACAGACACATGAAAAAGTGCTCCACATCACTTGGCATCAGGGAAATACAAATGAAAACCACAATGAGATACCACTTCACACCAGCCAGAACAGCTAAAATTAACAAGTCAGGAAACAACAGATGTTGGCGAGGATGTGGAGAAAGGTGGGAATGCAAGCTGGTGCAGCCGCTCTGGAAAACAGTATGGAAGTTCCTCAAAAAGTTGAAAATAGAGCTACCCTACGACCCAGCAATTGCACTACTGGGTATTTACCCCAAAGATGCAAATGCAGTGATCCGAAGAGGTACGTGCACCCCAATGTTTATAGCAGCAATGTCCACAATCGCCAAACTATGGAAAGAGCCTAGATGTCCATCAACAGATGAATGGATAAAGAAGGTGTGGTTACACACACACACACACACTGGAATATTATGCAGCCATCAAAAAATGAAATCTTGCCATTTGCAATGACATGGATGGAACTAGAGGGTATTATGCTAAACAAAATAAGTCAATCAGAGAAATATAATTATCATATGATCTCACTGATATGTGGAATTTGATAAACAAGGCAGAGGATCATAGGGGAAGAGAGGAAAAAATGAAACAAGATGAAACCAGAGAGGGAGACAAACCATAAGAGACTCTTCATCTCAGGAAACAAACTGAGGGTTGCTGGAGTGGTGGGGGTGGGAGGGATAGGGTGGCTGGGTGATGGACATCAGGGAGGGTATGTGCTATGGTGAGCACTGTGAATTGTGTAAGACTCATGAATCACAGACTGTACCCCTGAAACAAATAATACATTATATGTTAATAAAAAAATTAATTAATTTAAAAAAACCAGAATGACCATTGTGTCTCTATAAACTTAGATGATAAATTATTAAGAAAGATCTCCAGGTTCAACAATGGGAGAAATTTAGCGGCAGCCTGTCTAACATACCAAAATATCCAATGTACCCACAAACCAAGTTTTGTGATGGAATGGCCTAAGACAAAGTAAAAAAAAACAATGACTATCCATCAAACATGCTACTTTAGGAAAGACTTGATGGATTCAGCCATCTCCGAAATCAAACTCTGCCATAAAACCCAGAAGGTTCTGAGGTAACTATGGGTCAAGGACCTTCTTCATTAACTGCAGAAACCCCAAATGTACAGCTCTTCTAATCATAGAAAACCATTAAAGCCTCCTGTAACTTATAAAAATGTTCAGTTAACTGCCTTAATACTCTAAATTATGGCCAACCAGACTTATTTCAGCATCATAATAGGTAAAGAAACTATTGTAAATACCGCCAGAGTTCTTCCCATTGGAGGAAGATGGGCCTTATTAACCAATGAGTCTTACTGGATTCCAATATCAACGGACATCTGTGAATTCAGCAAAATACATGATCATGCCCTGAACAACAAGGTAACCTTGAATTCACTCCGACCTGGTCTATAACAGCTACAGCTGTACAAACTGACAGACGGGAAAAAGGAAGATTTTGTTGAGAAGGTTTACAAAACACCTCTGTAATACTCCTTGATTTCCTTTGTAACCAGAATACTTTTCATGAGGATGCGACTGCCATGCAGTGTAATCTCGGCTTTGCACCGCCAATGGAATTGCCTGAGTCTAACAAAAATGATACTAATACTGATATTAATGACCAAATGTTTTGGGAGATAGAATTACAACTACCGCAAGATGTAATATCTATGGAAAATAATCGGCCAGAGAAATTGTTACATATAATAACAGAAAAAAATTTTTTTTTTAAAGATTTTATTTATTTATTTGAGAGAGAATGAGAGAGAGAGCACATGAGAGGGGGGAGGGTCAGAGGGAGAAGCAG